AAAAAAAATGTCAGCGCAGAAAGAAAAAAAAAGCATTGCATGAAGAAATTTTTTGATGAATGAATTCAAAATATTTCGAGGTTTATATTTCTTTGCTAATTTTTTCCTAATTAATCTATAAAAATTAAACCATAAAATGTTGATCATGTATGTACAAAAGTATGTTATGTATTACATTGGTAAATGTTATTGTTAGCAAATATACTCAAAATTTTGACAAAAATTTCATATTTGTCAATTTTGAAAAAAATTCCTCATTGTTTAGGGAAAGTGTGAACTTTTTTTTCTTTTCTTTTCCACTTCCTTCTTTTTTTTTTTGAAAAGTATATGTTTTTCTTTAAAAAAAGCTAATTGAAAGAAGCTTTTGATAATTTCTTTGTGCTATGTAACAAAATCACTCGGTTTCATCTTTTTTTTTTTTTTTTTAAATTGAAAAATCAAAAAACTAGAAAAGAATGCGATCGGCATCATCAACATCAACAATCATCATTATCATCTACCACGATCATCTGATGATGTTTCAGCAGATTTTTTTTGTTTTGTTTTGTAAAAGAACATTCCGACATTTTTTTTTACACTTAATATCAGTTTTAATCGATACTAATCAAAGTTTTCATATATTCAAAAAAGAAAAACATGTTGTCAACCTGTGAAATTTGAGAAGAAAAATAAGGAAAAAAAAAGAAGAGAACGTTTTAGTTTTCATTTTGTAATTTAATGTATTACTATGTATTTTATGTATTGTAAACTATTGTAATAATATCCTGTCATCCATTTATTAATTAATTCTTATCATCCAATCTTAAATATGATTTATTGATTCATTAATTTCCTTCCGGATGCTGTTTTTTTTTTTCAAACTATCATTAATTATCTATCCTTTAGACAATGAGCATAGAAAGTATAAGTTATACATTCCAAAACTTCATTTGGACAGATGAAATTGAATAATGAGTGTAATATTCAACATATTTCCATCTTATCCTGTACCAAATATAATTTAAGTGTGTGAGGAAATTCTAATAACCGGAAATGACCTATTATTACATAACATTTCCGGAAATCATTCACTGATCTTCCGCTTTTTATAAAAATTATTTAAACAAGCAACGCTTGTATTTTAATGAATGTAAAGAGGAAAAAAAAAAGGGAAAAATGGAAGACGAAAAATATAAATGATTGCAACGATTGATAATATTATGAAATCTTTCATCCATTAAAGCAATCTTTTTTTTTTTCAATTTTATTTAAAATTATTTGAACAACAGAAGAGAGGGAGAGAGAGAGAGAGAGGAGAGACGGGAAAGGAGAAAAATGGAAAAGATAAGAGTAATAGCAGAAAGTTTTTGCTGATTACTTGTCTCATATAACATAAACATTTATTATAACAAAGATTTGTTTTCAATTCTTTTAACAAATCTTTTTTTTCCTTTGTTTCAAAAAATAAAGTGACAAAAATTTAGCGAAAAGATGCATTAAAAAATGAAAATAAAAGTAAAAATTATCGAAGTACACTTATAGTATAAAAATTATCGAAGTACATACGCATATGTAATAATAATAATAAATCAAGATAAGGTTTATTTTCAAAACTTTTTTCGTTTTTTTTTTCAAATTAAACCGTAAAAAACAAGTATTTGTGGAAATTTTGCACGTAGATAGTTTGATAATAAAGTGAAAATTTTCTCCTTATCATTGCAATATTTACACCTATTAATCAATTAATTTGTTTTACGCAGAAAAAAAACAATGATTAGAGTTAAAATTAAAATTTCAAATGACATCTTTTTTCTTATCTTTAAAAAAATAAAAATATACCGTAACCATTTCGTATAACGGTAGCTCGTGGTTGCGGCTTAGAAATAGCTGAACATGACGGTAAACATCGCATTTCTCGCTTTTTAAGCGATAAATCCAACGGCTGAAATTAATAGTTTTTTTTTTTTAATTTTTAACAAATTTATTTTTTTTTAAAAAAAAAATGGAATTTCACAAGTTTATATGTTACCTTATCATATTTCTCTTCGTCATCGTCATCATCAAGATGTACATCACGAGCTACATCCGTAATCCCGACAACATCAATATCAGTATCACATGATATGGTATGTAAGTTTATTGTATGATATGGTGGTGGTGGTATGATAGATGATGAAGTAATAGTGCACGTTACTGGTGATGATATAATTGTTGATGGTATATAAGTTGGTGACATATGAACAGGTATTGTTAGATTACCTAACGGTAGGTTAATTGATAATGTCGGTGGTTGGGTCATTGGACAACTGTACATCGCATTTGATCATTCAATTTATTTTTCTTTCTTTTTTTTTTTTTGTTTCGTTCTTTTTTTAAAACAAATTCCTGAAAATTTTTTCAGAAAACTTTTAAATTTAAAGTATTATCTTATTAACGCTGCACATTCAAAGTTATGTAAAAAAATTTCAAATTCTGATTTCAATAGTATTTTTAGATTCAACCAAACGTCTTCAACAAAATGACTGATACGGATTAATTGTATAATAATAAATGCTTTCCACCATATTATTGTAATTTTCTAACAAAAAAAAAGATGCTGTTTTAAATTATAGAAATTAAAATTAATTTTTCACATTCACTCATATCAAATATAACTGTTATTCATGTAAAAACTAATGCTTCCATTGATAAAATGATGCAACCATTCAGTGATGTTATAAATGCTATTGAACTAAAATTTCGAATTTTATTATACACAAAAGATTTATATACGCAAAAAGATTTTATTATACACGAAAGATTAGGAAAAAGCGCCATGTCAGGCTTATTTGTTTATTTCATGAAATTTGATTTTTTTTTTTTTGAAGAAAAGCGGGTAATAGACATGGACATGCATGGATTTTTGTCAAAGAAACTATTGAACTATCTGGTTTTAATCATTTACAGTTGGTTAAATGCAAAATGTGATAAATATGAAAAAGAAGTAAATTTAAGAAATGAAATAAATGAAGTGATTTTGTAAGAGACCTCAGTCATTAGCCAAAAAAGATTGTGTGTCAGAGAAATAACATTTTTTAAAGTTCGATATTGGATGTATAGTTTCGATTACTTATTTATTTGAATTTTTTTTTTTTCGAATCACAATTGAAAACTAAATTTAGATCAACAATATAACTAATGATAAACATTTACTTCAATTATTAGCTAGTTTAATATATATTGGAAAGTTTAAATTTCAATTTTTCGGAATTGTTTGCATTTCATATTGCACTTTCCACGAATTTTTCCGGTGAATCAAACATTTAAAAAATTCAAAAAATTGTGCTACAATTTGATTCTTGCTCATCAATTTACAAAACTTATAAAAATTTTTTTGAAAAAAAGAGGAAGAAAAAAGAAGCTGAAAATAAAAAAAATTTCATGAAAAATTCAAATAACGATAAGATTTAGGGAAATTGTTAACAAAATTAGTAATTTGACAAAAAAGTTTGAAAGGATGAAATTTGTGTGATATGAGGGAATGAAATGGATTGAAAAGAGAACAGTTGTAAAAAGTTTGGAATAACAATAGAATGAAAAAGAACTGAGAAAATAACAGGGATGGTATTTGAGCTTCATGCTTGATGATGATGATAATTGAGACCTTGACAACTTTAGAAAAAAAATCGGAAATAATAAAGTTTAAGAAAAATGAGGTAGGGCAAAAATGAGCAATTATAAGTCTAGCCTTGATAAATTATCGCAAATACAATGATTTCCTTTTGATAGGATGAAAGGTTAAGATTAGGCAGATACAGAAACTTTACCGGAAACAAAACCGCAAAATCTGGATAGATAGATAGATGTGGACGGATGAATGGATGGATGGATGGATGTGGATGGATGGATGTGGATGGATG